TGAAAATTTCATTTTTTTCTGAAACGGTGGTGTCTATTTACTTGTGACCATGATGTGTCTATTAAGATATTAAAATTGTAAATATTTTGTGGCTTTCTTCAGGCCCTTGACTGTTAACCTGCTGGAGTTAAACACCTGAAGACAAGGTTTTCTTCAGGACCTTGATTGTTCACCTGCAGGAGTTAAACATCTCAAGGCGGTTGTCGTAATTGTGACCGACGTTTTATGGGTAAAATACAAACAGCAACAGAAAACAAAAATGTATTTTAATTACGGTATCATATACCTATAGAGACAACCATGTACTTCACGTTGTTACCTATAGAGACAACCATGTACTTCGTATTGTTACCTATAGAGACAACCATGTACTTCACGTTGTTACACATAAAGACAACCATGTACTTCACGTTGTTACCTGTAGAGACAACCATGTACTTCGTGTTGTTACCTATAGTGACAACCCTATACTTCACGTTGTTACCTATAGAGACAACCCTATACTTCACGTTGTTACTGCTACAGACAACCCTATACTTCACGTTGTTACCTATAAAGACAACCATGTACTTCACGTTGTTACATCATGTTAGTTAGGTAACTAGATAGTCCTATATTTCATGTTTATTACTTATCTAGATAACTCTATTCTTTCCGTTGTTTCCTAACTAGATAACTCTATTCTTCCCGTTGTTTCCTACTTAGATAACTCCATTCTTCCCGTTGCTTCCTACCTAGATAACTCTATTCTTCCCGTTGTTTCCCACCTAGATAACTCTATTCTTCCCGTTGCTTCCTACCTAGATAACTCTATTCTTCCTGTTGTTTCCTACAACTCTATTCTTCCCGTTGTTTCCTACCTAGATAACTATTCTTCCCGTTGCTTCGTACCTAGATAACTCTATTCTTCCCGTTGTTTCCTACCTAGATAACTCTATTCTTCCCGTTGTTTCCTACCTAGATAACTCTATTCTTCCCGTTGTTTCCTATTCGGATAACCTTATTCTTCATGTTAGTTATATATATATATCGACAACCTATTACTTAATGTAACATGATAAAATCACTCACTGTACAAAAAGTAAATTTTTGTGTTCTACCTAGAGAATAAATAAAAGTCTTCACTAACTATTCGTGGGGAAATAATATCAATTCTTTTAATTTGATTATTAAATAACATATACAGAATATAAAAAAAACTTTTCACTAACATTCAGATTAAAAACAATGAACATAAGAAACATATAAAAGTAGTTAAGATATTTTTAGGTTTCTGTTTCGTTCCACTGTTAATGGGGCAGTAAGTTATTGATGTTAGACTGAGTTGTAAAGAAACCACTCTTAACAACAACAATTCAAACCAAGTTCTGTTCTAGCTGAAGATGTTGGGTAAGGGAAAAAAAAGTCGATATTTACCTGCAGGTGGAACGAAAGCAAACAGTACTTTCCAAAATATGGTGAAAAAATGCATGACATAGTCACCACAAGAGGGCAGTTTTTGATCGTCGTCAGTTTCTTCTCCCTCTCCATCGTCGTCGCCTATAACGTTCAAAAACAATAATCAGTCAACATTATCAATATTTAGACCCTATCAACCAAAATTAAACATGCCGAAAGTGTTTTAAAAATGAATTTGGTGAACATAATATCTTAGGGTAATTTCCTTTTTGTATTTCATCTAACACTAAGATAACACCGGCAGGACTTTCCAGGTTCAAAACCAACATCTAGTTATACATCACAGCATCCATGAAGAGCCGAGTGGTTTGCATTTTATAAAAATGTTGCTTATGGCAATATAAGAGCAGTTAAATGAAGACGGATTATTCATTCTGCACGTGAAAATTGTAAATTGCAAATAAAGTGTCTTTCTAAAGAATTTCATACCTCATTATAAAAGGTAGCCCAACATGTTCGTAAAACAAGTAATTAAATGTCGATCTTTCAGGTTTAATGAACATGATTTTTTTATGTCAAAGATATGTTCAAATTATTTACTTTTCTTTCGAAAAATAACCTTCATACTTAAAAACGAATATCTAAAAGGTGGTCTGTAACGTTCTAAAATTTAAACTGAAAAAATATTCTCAAATAAATCAAATTATACAATGTAAAGTAAAAGTTTGATCGTCAGCTTGAGGAAAAGTTTGATCGTCAGCTTGATAGATTGTAGGAAAAGTTGGAAAACAAACCATACCTTATCATAGATAGATTGTAGGAAAAGTTGGAAAACAAACCATACCTTATCATAGATAGATTGTAGGAAAAGTTGGAAAACAAACCATACCTATCATAGATAGATTGTAGGAAAAGTTGGAAAACAAACCATACCTATCATAGATAGATTGTAGGAAAAGTTGGAAAACAAACCATACCTATCATAGATAGATTGTAGGAAAAGTTGGAAAACAAACCATACCTATCATATATAGATTGTAGGAAAAGTTGGAAAACAAACCATACCTATCATAAATAGATTGTAGGAACAGTTGGAAAACAAACCATACCTATCATAGATAGATTGTAGGATACTAAACAACCAATAAGGCCACAGAAGATGGATTAACTACGAACATACCGTTTGAGTACATTATAATAAAATTATTTTGAATATCAACTCAGCAAGTCACGTGACAACTACAGCTGATGTAAAGTCGCGGTGGAACGGAATGTATCAGAACCACGTTTTGACATTATTTGAGATTCACAGGTGTGATACCACCGAAAATTTATCGCTTTTGCAACACCACTTTCATACACTCGGATCACAAGTGTGTTTCTGGTCGGAGATTTATAATATCCAAGACAAAGACATCTTATCTACATAATGTCATTTGAAAACAAAGAAATATGGATCAATATGGGTACCAGGACAACTCAGAAAGAGACCTATAACAAATTGTTCTCCAGCCTTGCTGAGGAAAGTGAGTCGTCTTGTAATAGGTAATAATACATAAACATAAAGGTCGATGGCAAAGTCGTCCACGTGTCCTAAGACAATAGTAAGCAACATAGTCTCCATCTGGAAATTAGACCAACAGAGTGTGTGTTTATTAAGGTAATGCTTACAATCACACCTCCCGTTCAATTAATACATACCCGAATCAGTATGAGAATGAAACGGGTATTCATGCTACGCCATATGAAGATATATCGATGGAGTCGCTTATGGATTTTTATGCAATCGAACTGTTGAAATGGGCACTGGGAAACTGTCGTCTTCGTACACTAGATGAATTATGGAAAGCCAACAGGGAAGAGTGATATGCTTTAGACATGACAGCCTTATGAAGGAGTCTCTTGCAATGGAAAATACGCTGCAGAACTATTGTCAGGATGCACGGTCGTCAGATATAGTACGACCGAACATGGCGAGGGTCAAAAGTCATTTTAATATAATGTACACGACCAACTCTCTGGATGTATCTATCTCATTAATTACATACTAAGGCCAGGAAAGAAGGATTAATATACAACAACTAACTTAAAAAGCCAGAGAATAGAACCAAATTCCCATCGCAGGTTCTCAGGTGTTTATCATACCTACTGCTATTGGTTATTCACCGGATTGTGAACGAATGTTCGAAAATAACGACAGTAAATCTCCCGTTAAATTTGGAAGTCCACCTTTTATGTTTGAAATATAATATTATCAAATAGAAAAAGATAAATATACCTCAATTTCTAGACTATACGATATCATTTGGGCCGAACAATTTTTCATGACTGCAGAAGATGATGTGACAATCGTGACTAGTCACACGGATGTACCAAATAGGACTGGAAAATGAAATAATCAAAGAATATTGGCCAAAAATAAGGTATTTGATACAGCTATAAAAACTCTGGAAAGGGTCATCACCGAGCAGAAAAGGTATAGGCCAGCTACTGCAAGGTTAAGTTACAGCAAGAAAAATGATTGGTTAAAACGGTTGGAATTTTTCAGGCAGAAAAAGTCGGGAGTTTCAACAGAGGAAGGTTATTCGCCAAGACAGCCTTGCGTTAATGAAAGCAAACAACCAGGCAACAGTAGACGATTATTTAATATTGCTACTCTGGACGTGACTTTATAAGTCACAGTTACTAGATAATTAATATTCTTACTATATACGTGACTCTATAAGTCACAGTTACTAGATAATTAATACTTTTACTATATACGTGCCTTTAGAAGTCACAGTTACTAGATAATTAATATTCTTACTATATACGTGACTCTATAAGTCACAGTTACTAGATAATTAATACTTTTACTATATACGTGCCTTTAGAAGTCACAGTTACTAGATAATTAATATTCTTACTATATACGTGACTTTATAAGTCACAGTTACTAGATAATTAATATTATTACTATATACGTGACTCTATAAGTCACAGTTACTAGATAATTAATATTCTTACTATATACGTGCCTTTAGAAGTCATAGTTACTAGATAATTGATACTGTTATTATTTACGTGACTTTATAAGTCACAGTTACTAGATAATTATTATTCTTATTATATACGTGACTTTAGAAGTCACAGTGACTAGATAATTGATACTGTTGCTATTTACGTGACTTTATAAGTCACAGTTGCTAAATAATTGATACAGTTACTATTTATGTGACTGTATAAGTCGCAGTCACTAGATGATTATCACAGTTGTAACAGTCTGGGTCACTGATAATTATTAATATTGCTACTACATATGTAATAGTAACACTGAGAGTCACTGTAAAACTGTAAATATCATCAGCTCAACAACTTTTCATTAGTTTTGAAACAAAGTAAGAAGAGAAACAAACTGATTTATATCTCTCCTCTTCTAGTCATAAGAACACGAATAGTAAACTGATTTATGTCTTTCCTCTTCTAGTCATAAGAACATGAATAGTAAACTGATTTATGACTTTCCTCTTCTAGTCATAAGAACAGGAATAGTAACTGATTTATGTCTTTCCTCTTCCAGCCATAAGAACATGAATAGTAAACTGATTTATGTCTTTCCTCTTCCAGCCATAAGAACATGAATAGTAAACTGATTTATGTCTTTCATCTTCCAGCCATAAGAACATGAATAGTAACCTGATTTATGTCTTTCCTCTTTCAGCCATAAGAACATGAATAGTAAACTGATTTATGTCTTTCATCTTCCAGCCATAAGAACATGAATAGTAAACTGATTTATGTCTTTCCTCTTTCAGCCATAAGAACATGAATAGTAAACTGATTTATGTCTTTCCTCTTCTAGCCATAAGAACATGAATAGTAACATGATTTATGTCTATCCTCTTCTAGCCATAAGAACAGGAATAGTAAACTGATTTATGTCTTTCCTCTTCTAGCCATAAGAACATGAATAGTAAACTGATTTATGTCTTTCCTCTTCTAGCCATAAGAACATGAATAGTAAACTGATTTATGTCTTTCATCTTCCAGCCATAAGAACAGGAATATGTGGAGATGATAAGAAAGGAATAACAGATATGTGGAGATGATGAGAAAGGAATAAAAGATATGTGGAGATGATAAGAAAGGAATAACAGATATGTGGAGATGATAAGAAAGGAATAAAAGATATGTGGAGATGATAAGAAAGGAATAACAGATATGTGGAGATGATAAGAAAGGAATAACAGATATGTGGAGATGATAAGAAAGGAATAACAGATATGTGGAGATGATAAGAAAGGAATAAAAGATATGTGGAGATGATAAGAAAGGAATAAAAGATATGTGGAGATGATAAAAAAGGCTCCGAGAAAAAAAAATATACAATAGAAGAGAAAGAAAAACGCGAGACTTTAAGGTAAATGATAAAGAATGAAATAAAAGATACAATAAATACTGAAATACAATAAATTTAAAAAAGGATAGAAATAAAAACTGGAATAAAGAGATTTCAAATTAAAGTAGCGAATAGAAACAAAGGAAAGCATAACGTGATCAAAGTAGCAAATAGAAACAAAGGAAAGCATAACGTGATCAAAGTAGCAAATAGAAACAAAGGAAAAGAATAACGTGATCAAAGTAGCAAATAGAAACAAAGGAAAGCATAACGTGATCAAAGTAGCAAATAGAAACAAAGGAAAGCATAACGTGATCTCTTTCTTAAACGAAAAACTTTACAAAATGATGAAAGGTCACATTTACAAGAAACAGCTAATATTCAGTTACCAGTACACTCAGAACGATGAGAATTGAGGTTTTATTGACTGGAAACTCTTTTTGATCTAGTTATTTGAGTGTAATACGGGGTTAAAATTGAAAATAAATAAACAATAATACGGGGTTAAACTTGAAAATAAATAAACAACAATACGGGGTTACAATTGAAAATAAATAAACATAAACTGTTTGAGTGGTAATTTTGATTTTAAGCATCGCTTCTGTTCATTTTCGACGAAGAAATAAATACAGAACATTTCAAGTTGGACTATCTCCTTTATAAACTATCTGTTTACTTCTATTTTTTTATTTTTTTTACCAAAGCCACCGTTTCGTAGCAACGTAATAGACTACTGGCAATACTGGCGCTGTTTGGGCCACGCATCAAACGTAATGTGGTCCTTAAAATTCTTTACGTTAGCTTAGAGACATGAAACTGACGGCACGTACTTACCTGCACTTACAGTCACAGCTTCAATAAACTGCTCCTTCCACGATGACGTCCCGAGCGTCAAAGACGCGTTGGCTTTTTGGAAGAGTTTATCCACCGTATTCTAATGGTTGAAAAGACAGTAAAAACTTTACTCGTAACTGTGAGTATCGCATAGAAAGATATACAATAATGAGACCATAAAGTTTTATAATTGTTTTATTTGCTGAGATTAAGAGAATTAATGGCTGTTATTGTCTGTACTCTTCGTGTTGTTGTATCCCACGTATTTACTCATTGTACTATAAATGTAAGACCTAGCTCAGCTTACCTCTACAAATGTAAGACCTAGCTCAGGTTACCTCTATAAATGTAAGACTTAGCTCAGCTTACCTCTATAAATGTAAGACCTAGCTTAGCTTACCTCTATAAATGTAAGACTTAGCTAAGCCTACCTCTATAAATATAAGACTTAGCTAAGCTTACCTCTATAAATGTAAGACCTAGCTTAGCTTACCTCTATAAATGTAAGACCTAGCTCAGCTTACCTCTATAAATGTAAGACCTAGCTCAGCTTACCTCTATAAATGTAAGACCTAGCTTAGCTTACCTCTATAAATGTAAGACTTAGCTCAGCTTACCTCTGTAAATGTAAGACCTAGCTAAGCTTACCTCTATAAATGTAAGACCTAGCTCAGCTTACCTATATAAATGTAAGACCTAGCTAAGCTTACCTCTATAAATATAAGACTTAGCTAAGCCTACCTCTATAAATATAAGACTTAGCTAAGCTTACCTCTATAAATATAAGACTTAGCTAAGCTTACCTCTATAAATGTAAGACCTAGCTCAGCTTACCTATATAAATGTAAGACCTAGCTAAGCTTACCTCTATAAATGTAAGACTTAGCTAAGCCTACCTCTATAAATAATAAGACTTAGCTAAGCTTACCTCTATAAATGTAAGACCTAGCTCAGCTTACCTCTATAAATGTAAGACCTAGCTCAGCTTACCTATATAAATGTAAGACCTAGCTAAGCTTACCTATATAAATGTAAGACCTAGCTCAGCTTACCTCTATAAATGTACGACCTAGCTAAGCTTACCTCTATAAATGTAAGACTTAGCTAAGCTTACCTCTATAAATATAAGACCTAGCTTAGCTTACCTCTATAAATGTAAGATCTTCTATTTGATTACAACATTCTGATTTTCAGTTTCTAGAAAAACGTAAACTAGGATATAAAGTTAATTAAAATATAAAAAGGTCAGGAGTGAGAATAAAATAGAACTGGATCACACCGATATACTTGTAATTATACACCTGGAAAAAAGTTAAGCACCCCCAAATATTTTTCAGGATTGCTTATTGAAAATAAGGTTTAATT